TTTTTTTACTCAATATTTAGAAGACATATTTGAAGAAGCACGTTGCGGTCGACCTTTAGGACTTGCCTTTGATACGAAAGGTAATAATTTGATTGTATCCGACGCATATTATGGAATATGGGAGGTAAATCTTAACACCAATGAAAAGAAATTGCTGGTATCTCCACAACAAGAACAACCAGGCAAAGGTATAAATCGCAAACCTAAAATTTTCAACACAGTTGCTGTGGATCAGAAAGGTGACATCTATTGGACTGATTCAAGTTCCGATTTCTTGCTTCTTGATTTGGTATACACCTCTTTTGTGAATCCCTCTGGTCGGTAAGTGGATTTTTAACTTTATATGAACTAATAATGCAAATGAAAGATTTAAGTATAGATAATAGGCAAAACCGGTTTTTTATTAGCATGTAATAGTGCGCATTTTTTTATTTTGGACTAATGCCAACAAGTAAGCATGTTCTATTGATTCCGTAAATAATAATTTCCTCAAGGTATTAGATGACGTCATATTGACGCCGAAATTGTTGATTTTTTGAAGGTCTCCAAAAAATTAGTCTTTTGGACACAAATGTGCACATATGTAGAAGGCCTCTCCTTTTCTGATTTTGCCGACTGGTTAACGTTAATATAAATATGTATATACTTATATGATTTTATATTAATAACATACAAACAATCTCAAAATCATGCGGATCATTTACAATTAATATATTCACACCTGCCTGGTTGTCTGGTTAAAAATTATTATCCTCTAGTTGTTGTTGTTGCAGTGACTTCTAAACCCGGCTCGAGTTTGCTCATGCCCAGGAAGTGGGTAACTTCAACTGAGTCTGTCCAAAGGGACAGTACTCAGTAAAAATATAAACATAGCCAGATAAACTGATAAACAGACCGGATATTAAAAAAAACATACTAAATAGTAGTAATAGTAAAAAAAAAATGTGAGAGACACCTAAATGATAATAATAATTATCTGGTGTCCCTCAAAGTGGTCGCATCGAATTAGTGGATATTTTGCAATATTGAACCGACATGGGTGTTTACATCGGAAGGTCTACCGCAAAAAAAAATAAAAGAAATATATGTATCTAATGTATTCATGGGCCAATTTGTCTGCTTTTTAAAATATATACTGGTTATAGTTCTGTTCTCTATGCAAAAAACTTGTGCAAGCTTGTACCAAATATTAACAAATCGCGTTCGTTTGGACAAACAACTTGAAATACTTGCCAGGGAGAGCAAAATTTTGACATTTTCTTTAGAGGGACATTACAAATTCGTGCTTGGAAAATTTTTGCCAGCAAGAATTTGTAAGCAGGATCGTGGCACACGATTGTATTTTTGGTCAACAACAATTTGAATAAACAAGTTTGTAAAATTTAAAAATGTACAATCTTGTTGCGATTTACTAATGAAAGAAGTATGGAAATATTTGTTTACTTAATTAATTTAATTAGTTCCAATATTTTGTAAGGTACTGGGCTGAAAGAGTTGTACTCACTCGTAATCGGAGTCGGATATAGGAAATCCGACACAAAGAAATTGAAGCGTATGTTGAATAAAGTTAGAATGACAAGAAATATGTATTTGTATATGTCTTGTCTTTTTCCACTTTAAGTAATTAAGAAAATTATTATGTTCGAAATGCAACCGTGGACGCCAGCTGGCAGCGAAGCTTGCAAATTTCTGCAAAGTCCTGTTAGCGCTGAACTTTGTAAGTTTCTCTCTACGAGAGTAAGATACCTTATTCCCTGAATTTTGTTGCTGGCTTTTCCTGACGAACAGAAAGAAGACATTTTTGCGAAAAATAGTGTTGCTAGGTGGCACCAGTGGCGAGATATTTTGAAACCCCGTATTTATGGTCCGATTTGGTTCGAATTTGGCGTATCTAGTTGAAACGTAATAAGGCATAGATTTTCAAAAAATTGACCTTGAATTGGCGCTGAAGTCAAAGTATAAAGTATATATACTAATTGTTTTTACAAACGTCACGTAAAAAATGTCGCGTGGTAGATGTCGCCTAAATTCGCCCTTAAGTTAAAAAAATAATTGAATGCATATTTTCTAATATGACAACTACCATAAGAAAGGGAAATTAATCTATTTTAGTTTTAAATAAACCACTTTAAATTTGTATGGTGCGTTTCGAGGATTTTTGCATATTTCTAGAAGCAGTCGAGAACAACTTCCATTTTTTGTCGCGTTCTTGATCCCACGTTGTTTGCCAATATATTGGAAACAGAAGATCGACAGAACCTACCTTTTGAACAAAACAGGGACCGTAAATAGCAGTTGTTTTTTTAACCGACTTCCAAAAAAGGAGGAGGTTATCAGTTCGTTGGAATATTTTTTTTTTTATTTTTTTTTTTTATGTATGTTACCGCATAACTTTGGACCACGTCAACCGATTCGATAATTATTTTTGCATCGGAAAGGTAGTGTCTCAGAGGTGGTCCCATACTAATCAGGTTAAGATCCGATCAGTTGATCATGAGATATATATATATATATTTTTTTTTTTTATATGAGAGTTGAAGTTGGTTTGTTTTTGCTAAAAATTACTTGTTCAACAGTTAAATTTGGCCAGATATTTTTTATGTCCGAAATAAAAGTCTTTCCGGGTAGTAAACAAATCGCTTATCCAAATTAAAAAAAATTTGGTGCCAAATGAAAGAGAACTTAAATAGCTTTTAAACAGAAATTAAAACATTTTTTATTGAAATATTATTGAATAGCTGGCTTTCCGCTGGCTTTGCATGTTTAAACATTTCAGTTTTAAAGCTACTTTAGTCCTCTTTCAGTTGATACCAAGCTTATTTAATTTGGATAAGCTGTTTGTTTATTATTAGGAAAATACTTATATTTTTCCCTTAAAAATATCTGGCCAAGTTTAACTATTGAAAAAAGTAACTATTATTTATGGTCCCTGGTACAAAACATATTGCCTCTAAAATGCTATCGAAACATAAAAAAACAACATATAATTGGCGGTTGCTTTATTTTTTTTGCATCGCAAGGCGTACGAATGTCGCGTTCTTGACCATGGGGTTGCTCATATTGAATTTTACCTATCGCCTAAAATTGCTTTCAGTTCTTAATACATATGTATGTATATATGTTTTTATGTGTGTATGTGAGAATGTGATGTTTGGCAGGGATCAGGTTGTAAAACTTGACAAACTAACATTTCTACATAAATTGGTTCATATGAAGGTCATCTGAATAACATTTGAATCTAAGAAAAAAATAATAATAATTATGTACTTATAGTTTTGATTTTATTGCTTTTTTAAATCTTAAAATATATAAATTTTTTTAATTCTCAGCCTTTTTAAATACAATCGCGCTGCCAACGTTAGTACCGTACTACTAGACGAATTGTTCTTTGCTAACGGTTTGGCACTGAGCCCCGATGAGGATTTCATCATTGTTTCCGAAACTGGAGCCATGCGTTTGATTAAGTACTACTTGAAAGGTCCCAAGGCAGGACAAAGCGAGGTGTTTGTAGAAGGTCTACCTGGTCTACCCGATAATTTGACTCCGGATGCAGAAGGCATTTGGGTTCCACTGATAATGGCTGTTGATAGTGAACACCCAAGCGCCTTTAATTTGTTCTCCAACTTTCCTAACATTCGACTTTTCTTAGCACGTTTGCTTAATCTCTTCGAACTACCATTCCGTTTAATTAACAACGCATATCCAAATAAGTTGACACAAAAGTTTATTCATTTTATTGGACATTGTGAGAGTGTACTCATTTTGGCACATAAACGTGCCACCATCGTGAGAGTGGATTGGAATGGTAATATCGTTGGTTCATTGCACGGCTCCGATAGGTCCGTGGGGGCAGTGTCGCATGTCTTGGAATTCAACGATCATCTCTATCTTGGTTCACCCTTCAATCGATTTTTGGCACGTGTAAAATCTCCGAGAGCCAGCAAACAGCCGGACGTCATAATCAGAAATGTGAGGTATGAAGGAGTTGGAATGGAAGCTTCTGTTAAGCCACAAACTACAACTAGTAAGCCTAAGCCCGCTGCTACTACTAAACCACTAACTACGACGTCGCAATCGACTACTACAACTACTACTACGCCAAGACCCACAACAACGACGCCTCGACCTACTACAACTACTTCGAAACCGACTAAAACTACTAGTAAACCTACAACAACCACGACACGTACACCGCCAACAACTACAACGACTACGACAAAAAAACCGTCTAGTGCAGCACCTAAAACTGCGCCCGGTACACCAAAAGCGAAGTCTACATCTACGACAGCTCGACCTACCACAACCACCACAGCGCCGAAGCGTGTGCCACCCAAGCAACCCGCACCGATTAAGGAAGAAATACCAAATGATACCAAACCACCTAAATTCGACAAACTTAAAGTGATCACCAAAACGGGTGAACACATCGAACTTTAAATAAACTAACACCAACTAACTCATCATCAGCCATCCCAGGTGTCGAACAAATACTTACATACCAACATCAACATTCGCCGGCATGTAACAATATTGCTTGCAGCAATAAAATTAGCAATAATCTAGTAAATATAAAACGTATAGCGATTCAGAGTAAACAGAGTTAAGCTCCACGCATCCGAAGCGCACCGCCGAAGCTAAGAATATTACTGCAGCATGATTCCGCTTAAGATTTTGAGGATTGTTTATGATAGCTCATAATTGAATACATTCCAATTAGCATTGCAAGTCTAATATACAGCTAGAACTTTATTTTGATTGTGAAAACCACAACCATACATTCCACCCAAATGCATGCAAAAGGGTTTTTAGAAATTTTTTGTGCGCGGAATAATAAAAATTTGTTATAATTCAGTAAACTCAGTTGGTTTAGAAGGTAGTTATGTATGTATAAGACTAGAGTTACAGCGGATCTTTGTGAAAACCATATTATTGAATCTGTGCTCGAACAAAATTTGAAACTCTTTTGGTTCTACTAAGTTTATTTAGTACTCGATTGTACTAACTTAATATAATGAATATGTATATTTCCACAAAATCGTATGATTTAAAAAATTTTAAATTTAAAAACTTGATATGAATTCCTTTTCCCCTCATTAAATATGCGAAATCTTACTTTTGAGAGAAATAATAAAGTAAACTTCATGTACTGATTTTGAGATTTTCTATGATTTATGTATTTAATAAGCGTTTTTTCATAAACTATTTCCTTTAAATTGTACAACTATAAATATTTCTTTAAAATTAAATAAAGCATAATTCATTTTTAAACGAACTACCTACATAATTACTCGGCAGTTTTTAATATTTAATTAATAATATCCAAAATTTGTTTACTTAAAACAAATGTTCAGTCATCGGCTATATTTAAATACATACACATATACTATGGTGTGTTCGAGTTAACTTATCTAAGTTTTTGCTGAACTGTTACATCACATTGACAAATTTGCGGCATACTTATAAGCATAAATATATCTACAATCTTATCTATCATGTATACATGTACATAGGTGCAAGCATCGAAGCAGCACGAACACCACTATCGGCTGATTATCTAACTGTGCATGTATGTATGTAAGTACATAGGTATTGGCGCATGCATGTGCTAGCTCAAATCACGTTTCGTTTAGCTTTCATTTCTATTAATTGCTTTTGTAAATCAAATTCATTCCAAGCGATCTCACGTGCTTTTTGCGCTTTTCGGACGGCTTGGCGGCTCGGCGGGATCTGTCCATTTCCATTCGGTATACATAACGCATTGGTTTTGTGAATCCATGTAGAGATGAGATTGTGGACAGCGTTGTAGTTTGGCTGGACGTCCTTGTTCCTCACATGTCCAATATTTTGTAGGGTCCCAATAGTGGCGGAACATGGCGTTAACCTCGTGCAGTGTATGACAGCCGGGCTCGCCATCATATTCGCCAGCGTGTTCATGTCTTGATTGCTTAGTCGAAGCCATTTGAGGGATTAGTGTGTGAGCAAGGTGAGTGTGAGTATATATGCAAATTAATCTCTAATAGTATTTGCAGTTAATTGTATACGCTTGCTTTCTAGCATTCAAGTCGGACGAGATTACTTGCTGAGTTTACGTTGAGTGGGGGCGTTGATGCTGAAATGGAAATGTTACCAAAATTTTTAAATACTTGCCAACCATTAAGTGATTCATCGTATTTTAAATATGTATGTTTATATGTTTAAAATTAGCTAGTTAATGTTTTATTTAATTACTATAAGGCAAAAGTAATTTTGCACTACTGTAGCGTAGCGTCTGTTGTCCACCTTACATAAGTGTGTGTACTATGTATGTGTCGTATGTGCACAGAAGGTGATAGCAGTAATACAAAAAAAGACACACGTTTGTGCTAGTCGTACATAATAAATTAGTTAATTTGAAATATACAAACTCTTTTATTTCAAGTTGTGCGTGAACTTTAATTTTATTTGTATGTAGCCAATTTTACTTAGCTCAACTTTACTTTGTAATATTTGACTAATTTATATTATTTCAATTTAGTTTAATTAAATGAAATACAATTTAACTTAGTTTAATATTTTTATTATTATTTTTTAATTGACTCCAATTAATTTTAGTCTGTTTTATTTTGTTTGTCATTTCTTTTAATTTTGTTTTATTTTGTTTTTTTTTTCACTTCCATTGTTTGAATTTAATATTCTATTAGATTTTGTTTTATTTTACTTCAATTCAATATAATTATGTATGCATTTTTGTTTTGGAAACTGTAAATAAATGTTAACATGCTTATTAAAAAAAAATAAAATCTATAATTCCAAATTTCCGTTTTATAAAATATTGACTGTACAATTTCTCTTCGAATAAAAGTTTAGGTTGCGTTTAGTAAACTACCTTCAGACCATTGATATTCAAAAACGCAAATTTAAAAACTTTTTCAAAATTTCGCTCTTCTACCAACATTTTTTATTCACTTTGTTGTTCACAATTCTTACCACAATCTGTTGCTGTTGCCTTTGATCGATGTGTTGCTGTATCTCACAAAAATTTTTCTTGAAATTTCTTTCGCTACTAAAATATGCCACTTGAGTTTTAGCCTTTGCCGCCGACGACGAAAATTCAAAATTATTTCTACGAGTATGATTTCCTTCCCTCCTTTATATAATTTTAGTTTTAATTTCCACAAAGACAATGCCAAAATTTTTCCGCATGCACATACTATGAGTATTAAGTAATTTTATTGGTACACCACATCCGTCACTTCATAGAGATGTTATATTTTTTTTATTTTATATACATACATATGTACTTGTAGTATATCATACGAAATTTTATTAAGTATATTTGAAAAAATTTGCGACGCAGACCGACTGGGCTCTTGTGGTGACAACGCTCAAGGTGGTTGTGCTGTAGTGTGAGCTTTTGTCTTGCCGTCTTTATATTTAACTCTGAGCATGTTACCAGGTTATAATTTTGTTGCTGCACATATTTTTTTCCTTTCTCTCTATGTGAATTATCTTAAAAAAAATGATTCAAAATTGAAATTTGCGCCCAAAAAATAACACTATGAAATGGGTTGCGATTTGAAATCAATGTGTTATGATTATGGATTTTTTTCCCTAGAAATATTACTTTGTAGAGTAATCTCAGTACCCACGATTGATGAGCACGTGAATATGGGTGTGAGTGTCAGACTGTCGCAGCGTACTTATGGAAAATTTGCACTAGTCACACGCGAAGTGCCTGTAGGAATTTTTTTCAGATTTTTTTTTTTACGTCTTTTATTTGTACTCGGACCCGATAACAAAGTGCATGACAGCTTTCGCTACAAATACATATTTACGTATATCGTAGTATCGCGTATCGCGGTTCTGCAAAACTTCGTAACTGACATTTGTGCTAAAAATGCGATTTGCTTACCGGAATCTCCTGACTTGAAAGTCGTATGCAATCATACCAAAATATCGATATTTAGATATATAACGTAGAGATTATTATGGATAAATGAGAGAACCGTATTGAGATAAGACAGGTTTTACTCTCTCCTTTAAAATTTTGGCAACCTCACATACGAGGTTTTGTATTTTCTTGGATGTACGCGGTTTTGTACTTTAAACGACGAAATGCATATAAGTAGGTACATTAAGTGTAGATATATGTATGTATGCACATGAGCAAATAAATTTAAGATTCTATTTATTTGATAAGTTATCTTAATCAGTGAACTACATACACTCCAGAGAAAGCACCACCTACCTACAGACGTGTTTAAAGACACTTGATTTCCTTCTGGGCCATATACCATAGTACACGCAAGCGATGCGTGCGTTCTCCTTGATAATGAAAACATATTCACATAATCTTAATACATACAGTATCGGTCATATCTATAGCACGCCATTTCAAAGTGATATTGTGTGCCACTTATGTTTATTTATTTATTTTTAAGAATTTTCAATTAAAATTTAGTTCATTCTCGGACAAACCCCATATATATCCAAGTTCAACAATTTGTAGAAAACTACAAAAAAGTGTAACAAATTTTCACCTAAATTTCAAACTTTTTTCTCGGAAGTGATCGAATACAGTTTTATAGCCCAATCAATTTTAGTCTGATAATGTGCAAGTTTCAAGTGGCTATTTTTTTTGTCGCATTGGCTTCCATATAATGAATAAACTCAATTTATTTGTATATGGAAGAAAACCGCAACATCCTTGGCGAAGAAAAATCTAAAAAATCAGCGGTAACTTTTAGCGACTTGAAACTTGCACATTATCAGACTAAAATTGATTGGGCTATAAAACTGTGTATTCAGAAAAATTCAAACACTTCCGAGAAAAAAGTTTGAAATTTAGGTGAAAATTTGTTGCACTTTTTTGTAGTTTTCTATAAGTTTTATATGGGTTTTGTTAGAGAAAGAACTGTATTTTAATTGAAAATTCTTAAAAATAAATAAATAAACATAAGTGGCACACAATATCACTTTGAAATGGCGTGCTATAGATATGACCGATACTGTATGTGAGCCATTTATTTTGGAAGTGACCGAAGTCATTTCATGCCGTTTAACTTCAATGATCATTTATCTGTTATCCGTTCAACTTCATCAGTCGAAGGCAAATTTGGTTTCTCATTAATTTGGTTATTAGTTTATATTGGTTGAAAGATTTACAGATCGTCGCCTGGGTAAAAGATAGAGAGTTAGATATTTTGAAATTAGGTCTTTCGATTGGTGTTATCAGTTTTTAGATATCTCCTTTAGTTTCCCAGATATTGACTAAAATTTTTTCGATAATTTAGTACAAATTTTATTAGTGATGCAGTCATATTAAACTAATCCATATCTTAAAAATGGCGTTCTCCATTTTTGGATATCTCTTTTAGTTTCCGAGATATTGAGTAAAAAGTGTCGTTAATTTAGTAGAAGTATTGATCACATTTTGTCGTATTTCATAAAATGTGGCTGACAAATTGTGGATAAATGACGCTTACGACAAAACTAATTAGCAGTAAGCATTAAAAATTAAATAATTTAAGAATTTTGTGAACTAGTAAAATTTTCAGAGACTTTGGAGAAAATCTATCCTGGCGTTTTTGAGAAATTGCATTCCAAACTTCAATCGCGATTTGCCCCCGAAATTAACATACGACCGCCGAAATTAACATACGACAATCTTTTACCCAGGCGATGAGAGGTATTAATGGCGTTTTCATTTCTTCAAAAAAAAAAATGTAGCCTTTTTATTGCCCTCTGCGCACAAATACAATGTAGAGGGCAATAAAAATCCAACATTTATTGTAGAAGAGAACAAATCAAACATTTCAGCACAAGAGGTGGAAATGACTTATGCCACTTTCAAAATAAACAGCTCATGTACATACATATGTACATACATATGTGTCTACGTCCGATCAGCGTATGAGACTGAGTTAGCTACTATGNGGCGTTTTCATTTCTTCAAAAAAAAAATGTAGCCTTTTTTATTGCCCTCTGCGCACAAATACAAAGTAGAGGGCAATAAAAATCCAACATTTATTGTAGAAGAGAACAAATCAAACATTTCAGCACAAGAGGTGGAAATGACTTATGCCACTTTCAAAATAAACAGCTCATGTACATACATATGTACATACATATGTGTCTACGTCCGATCAGCGTATGAGACTGAGTTAGCTACTATGTGGTTAATGTCGTCACAGGCAACTACAGAGTTACGTATATGAATTTATACCTACATATATATGTATGTATGTATGTACTTTCATATCTACATACAGTCTGTGAAAAAAGTATTCATTTTGTCTCGAGGAGTGCTCAAAGCACGAAAGGTATTTTTATGAGTTTTCGTATTATTTGCATCAGCATAATAATCTCATTTTTGATCTTATCGAATCTATCTATACTGCATTCCAATTGCTACGTAGATAGATAGATAGTTAATGATAGTAATTGCATAAATTTCAAGAAACATTACACTACTATGAATACAGTGATAGCCCCGATTATAAAATACATACCTACGTATAAAAGGGCGTTCGATTTGTTTTCCAGTAGATAATTTATTTGCACTACTGAGAAACTTGTAAATGTAAGGATAGCCTAATTTTTTCATGCGAATTATAAATACACAAGAATTACCCTTTTAACTTCAGCTTGGCGTATTCATAATTTTCTAAAATACTGTATGTGAAGTATGTAAAGTGATTACGAAGGTGCACGTGAATAGTAAAGTGCTTAAAAGTCTGAAGGTTAAATATGAAATATAAAATGACTTACATAGCATAGGACAAAGCTGATTGCTTCGAGTTGAAGAGAAGATTCCCAGATAAAAAACTCAAAAAAAATCACCCTCATTGCGAGATTCGTGTCGAATGCAAGTCGTTTTTCGGGAGTCGAATCGTATAGAAAATTGCACGTCATTGCCTAAACTTTCCACTCGACTAGTGTATTAAAACGGAAAAGCTTAGCAGCACTGTATAGTTTTCGACGATTTTGGTCGTTTACTTATTTCAGTACGACAATAGACAATGCTACTGTTGTCGAGTCGTATAATTTAGCCTAATTTATGACTTACGCAATGAGGCTGAATGATAAATTCAAAAGGGTTTACAATAAAAATAGAAGCAAACTGAAGTGGGTGTTCAGTCGAAGCTCTCCAGAATGTATATCGTAAAGTAAATAATAACACTGGTTTACAGCAAAAATGTTCTATGGATGCCACTATCCAATTCCTATGTAGAATTACTCGGTGATTCCGAAAATCGAGTTAATTTTTTTTCTATGGATACGTTTTCGAGTGAAACCACTCTGTTTTTTTAAGCTGAATAACGGTAAATTGCAAATATTCCGAAAACGAATCCATAGAAAAAACAAATAACTCGATTTTCTGAATCACCGAGCAATTCTACATAGAAATTGGATTGTCGCATGTGGAGTACAAAAAAAACAAAACTAAAATTTGTGATCCAGTGTTGGTATATTTTGTCTACATACTTAANGCTACTATGTGGTTAATGTCGTCACAGGCAACTACAGAGTTACGTATATGAATTTATACCTACATATATATGTATGTATGTATGTACTTTCATATCTACATACAGTCTGTGAAAAAAGTATTCATTTTGTCTCGAGGAGTGCTCAAAGCACGAAAGGTATTTTTATGAGTTTTCGTATTATTTGCATCAGCATAATAATCTCATTTTTGATCTTATCGAATCTATCTATACTGCATTCCAATTGCTACGTAGATAGATAGATAGTTAATGATAGTAATTGCATAAATTTCAAGAAACATTACACTACTATGAATACAGTGATAGCCCCGATTATAAAATACATACCTACGTATAAAAGGGCGTTCGATTTGTTTTCCAGTAGATAATTTATTTGCACTACTGAGAAACTTGTAAATGTAAGGATAGCCTAATTTTTTCATGCGAATTATAAATACACAAGAATTACCCTTTTAACTTCAGCTTGGCGTATTCATAATTTTCTAAAATACTGTATGTGAAGTATGTAAAGTGATTACGAAGGTGCACGTGAATAGTAAAGTGCTTAAAAGTCTGAAGGTTAAATATGAAATATAAAATGACTTACATAGCATAGGACAAAGCTGATTGCTTCGAGTTGAAGAGAAGATTCCCAGATAAAAAACTCAAAAAAAATCACCCTCATTGCGAGATTCGTGTCGAATGCAAGTCGTTTTTCGGGAGTCGAATCGTATAGAAAATTGCACGTCATTGCCTAAACTTTCCACTCGACTAGTGTATTAAAACGGAAAAGCTTAGCAGCACTGTATAGTTTTCGACGATTTTGGTCGTTTACTTATTTCAGTACGACAATAGACAATGCTACTGTTGTCGAGTCGTATAATTTAGCCTAATTTATGACTTACGCAATGAGGCTGAATGATAAATTCAAAAGGGTTTACAATAAAAATAGAAGCAAACTGAAGTGGGTGTTCAGTCGAAGCTCTCCAGAATGTATATCGTAAAGTAAATAATAACACTGGTTTACAGCAAAAATGTTCTATGGATGCCACTATCCAATTCCTATGTAGAATTACTCGGTGATTCCGAAAATCGAGTTAATTTTTTTTCTATGGATACGTTTTCGAGTGAAACCACTCTGTTTTTTTAAGCTGAATAACGGTAAATTGCAAATATTCCGAAAACGAATCCATAGAAAAAACAAATAACTCGATTTTCTGAATCACCGAGCAATTCTACATAGAAATTGGATTGTGGCATGTGGAGTACAAAAAAAAAAACTAAAATTTGTGATCCAGTGTTGGTATATTTTGTCTACATACTTAAAATTAATTATTCGCACAGTAACAGCATAAATTGGTTTGTTGTTGTGAATTCACAATCTGTTAAATAGATGATTGGCAGCTAGCCAGGGAAGTGCGATGACTTAGCGCGCTCGAATTTGCATACATATTTTTTCGTCAAAATATGAGGCAAGAGAGGGCATACATATGTAAATACATACNTGCCACTATCCAATTCCTATGTAGAATTACTCGGTGATTCCGAAAATCGAGTTAATTTTTTTTCTATGGATACGTTTTCGAGTGAAACCACTCTGTTTTTTTAAGCTGAATAACGGTAAATTGCAAATATTCCGAAAACGAATCCATAGAAAAAACAAATAACTCGATTTTCTGAATCACCGAGCAATTCTACATAGAAATTGGATTGTCGCATGTGGAGTACAAAAAAAACAAAACTAAAATTTGTGATCCAGTGTTGGTATATTTTGTCTACATACTTAAAATTAATTATTCGCACAGTAACAGCATAAATTGGTTTGTTGTTGTGAATTCACAATCTGTTAAATAGATGATTGGCAGCTAGCCAGGGAAGTGCGATGACTTAGCGCGCTCGAATTTGCATACATATTTTTTCGTCAAAATATGAGGCAAGAGAGGGCATACATATGTAAATACATACATACCTACATAGATACATATCCCGTGAGGAAATAGGCAATAATGCCTCACCAGCAACAGTCATTGGGAGTAGTTCGGCGCTCGGAAATAACTTCGGCGCCACGTTATTTTGCCATTTACAACGTAAGGCATCATCGGAGGTGTTAATTTTATAGTTCACTAATAGATGACGTTGGTTATGCTGGCAATTTTGGTGCTTACCTACATATTTTCCCAGTGGGTATGTACTTCCCTACAAGACATCTGCCGGCCATATGACCGGTCATCTGACTGGGAGATCTGCAGCCTTTTGGGATCATATTTTACGTAAGAATTGAAGGGATTTCTGAAAAGTTCTTTTGTGTACAAGAGATTTTGCATCCATTTTCATCATATGGCCTCGATTGACGTTAACTTAAGGCCTCTGTTTTACTGCCTTAAAATTGTAGGAACATTTTTGAAGTGTTTTTTTACGTGTATTGGTTTTTATTTGGTCAATCTAAAATGTCATTTTCTTGTAGGGTTAGTGTATACTCTTTAGCTAGTACATACATTAGGGCGGGTCAATTTGTATGTTCTTTGAAACCTATTTTCGCAATTTGGCAAAATCCTAATTGATTTCTTTGGCGAATTTGCGTGCATGGTGTTTTTTTTTTTTTAATATTCACAATGTGTTTCAAGTTAAAACTTTTTTATTTATTTTTGAAAAGATTGCTCATGCTTTACCCAAAACCATATAAATCAAACTTTCTGTCTTTATACAAAATTTAGAAAAATTCCACAAATCTTCATTAAGCTTTTGAACTTTTTAATGTGGAATATATTTCTTTTTGGGTTTTTTCACTTTTTGTCACATAAATGTGCATTTTTTTGTGGAAAAATGCCGAGACCATTCACAAAGAAATCAACGCCAGCTTTTATAAATTACCGCAATGGACAAAAAAAAAAAAAAAAAAATCAACGCGAATTCTTAGCTGCTTCAAACCATCATTTTGCCATACTAAAATTTCATGGGCTATAAAACTGCATACCTAAAAAAATATTAAAAATATCGAATTTTTTATGAAATTTTTTTGAATTTTTCTAATTTTGATTTACATGCATATATTGTTTTGATTATAACATAAACAACAAAACAATTGATTTTAAGTGCTCTAATGATATTTGCGATCCCGTACGAGACCGGACTAGTCAGAAATAGTCAGAATTAGTCGGATTTACTGGAAATTGATCCCGTACTCGGTTCTCTGACAATTGAGGAGACAAAAAAGAGAGTAAATAAGGTTCTCCCTATGTCAGAAGTTACCATCCCGTACTTTTCAGTGTTACTCTCCCGCTCTGAGAGCATTTTTATTTTTTTGACAATTTTACTAGTTTTAGTCCGAGAAATACCGGATTGGACCTAATGGCAACTGTCATTACTATTAGTGAGTGCGCGACAATGATGAAACAATGTTTATAGTGTGTTTTAGGAGCAATAAATATGACAATAGTCATAGAATGAGTTTTGTCAATGATGTGATTCTCTAAATGAAAAGCAGTGGTGCCTGAAAGTATACAACATGGAAAAGTAACAGATGCAATGTGTAATCAGCCAAATCTGGCAGCATGCATGAGGGGCATGTAACAAGATGCTGCATGTTGTCAGGCTAGCCAGCTATTCAGCAGGTACTTTAACGGTTTAACTTGCCAGGGTTACGCTGGTGGAAACCTTCGAAGACATCCTGTCCGATAGAATCCGATGGGTTATGCCAAAGTTGGGCTGAATGTACATAATCCAGCAAAAAACCTCCATAGTCCCATTCATAAGGCAACCGGTCTTATTCCCATTGGCGCTACCGACCTGCATCGGAAATTTACCAGTTCTCCTCATTTTGACATTATTATAGTAACGACAGAAACATTCGTTATCTCATTGTTAAGAACATGACGAACTTGACTGACAGCCAAGCGGCTATAAAGGCCATCAACCCCTTTCATCGGCTCAGAGCCCAATGCATACAACTTAAAGTCGCAGGTTTCGAATATTTTACTACTCGCGTGGACTGATTACNTACTGGAAATTGAACCCGTACTCGGTTCTCTGGTCTATAAAGGCCATCAACCCCTTTCATCGACTTAAAGTCGCAGGTTTCGAATATTTTACTACTCGCGTGGACTGATTACTGGAACGGATACCGGGCAATTTTACGATTGTAGAAGTCTTTTTCGACATATTTTACGCACAGCACGTGCTTCTTTCAGTGGGTGATAAATGGGTAGATACATTACCCCGGATATTACCCGTTTACCCGGCAACTATTTAGATTAACCGAGTATCAGAAGTCCTAGAATTTATGCACTTATAAACATCGCAATATTTTTTACTGAATTCGTTCCTTTTATTTAACTATTCATTTAATACATTGCTTTTTTCAACATTTAATGTGCTTTCATTTCTATTAGTAACATATTTCATTCTCTATTAGTAACATATGATAATATATTTAGATAATTTTTTTGTGTGGATACATTTTACAATTCTCCGCGGATACCTCGAGGGTTAAGGCCGCAGTAACACTGATGTTTAAATGTAAAATTATGACACCGTAGATTATTTTATTATTTATGGCTGAAGCAATAACGCGACCCCGCCAAGGATCCATTTGGCGGGTCGTTCACGGGTCTTTAAATTAAAGGTCCAAACGTAAGTGGCACCACGCAATCTGCAATGAAAACGAAAAAAAAACATTTTAACATTTGAATAGCTTTTTAAAAGTTAGTACTAAGTAGAAGTGTATATATTTCTATCTTATCACTGCAAGTTGCTATAAATCATAAAAATAGACTGCAATAGCCAATTTCAATAAAAATGGCAAGGTTGAATGAACTATAAACCAACTACATACCTACTAGGAATGTTAATCCTGGGATCCCGGGAGTTCACAGACTAGACGCTTCATATTGGTACCTTTTGCAATATTTTATATGGGCCAATTCCACTGTGCGTCGCACAGTGTTTCGACTATGGGAAGGCAGGTGGAAAGGATACTTAATGTGTTAATCGATTTCGGTGAAACTTGGCATGTGCTCTAATTTTTCTTAGGAATAGGGAATTATGAGGAAGGATAAATATGGGCTAACTGCCACGCCCTCCACCATTGTGAGTGGAAACATTAAATTTCATCCGACTTCGATGAAATTTAGCTTGTAATCTATTTTTTTATTAGAAAATCCTAAATATAAAATATGGGAAATGTAGGCGCACGCCTAACAATTGCAAAAAATGTGGGCCAATCCCTAAAGTCCGGCTGTCCAATGTCTGATTAGCACAAATCGGAGGTAGAAGCTACTGTTAAATTCAATGACTGCTTTATCGATCACATGTTATAGGCATGATGTCAAAAACGTCGATAATGTGTTTAACTGGGAAGTAGTGATAACCATACATTGAACAACTGGCCCTAAATGTGATGAAATTGTGGTTAATTTTTGTGTCCTGCTTTCCACTCTCAGAAATAAAAAGTTTAAACTTAAATAATGCATAGGTGTAAGCATTCTCAATTCTCCCGAATTTTCGAACAAGTTGGTTACACACTTATTCGGTTAATCAATTACTCGAGTAATCAAGATTTTCATTACTTAAAACGGTAATAGGTTCATTCCTTATCTTTTTGGACTAAAATCTGAAAAGTGTCAAAATGCCAGAGCGTAAGCAAAATGCGCTCACTAAAAGAGAATAACAGGAAAAGTAAAGGAACGCATAAAACCAAATTTTTAGTCCAAAGAATGGCAACAACAAAGCTAACGTCAAATAAGAATGGAAATGTATGTACAAAACACATTCACACAAGCACAAGCACAATAAACACTTACTATATCAATTATTTTTTGCCTCCTTCCAATTTCAATTCACTTTTTTTGCTTTTTATATTATTCTCACTTTTTGCGTATTCTTTAATTTCCGTTAATTTAAATTTAGTTGAGTTTGACACTTTTCAGGATTTTGCCAGAAAAAATTCTTCTGACTAAATCTGACTACTTCGGACTGATGAGATTCACTCTCACTGGGTCTTGCTCTCTCATTTTAGCTGTCATTTCCGAGTTAAGGAACGCTTTTTGGACTAAATCTGACTACTTCGGACTTTTTCTGACTATTTCTGGGAGATAAGGAACGCTCCTAATATGATTACACAAAAAAATTAATTTTGCTCGTTAATAGAGTTTGCTTTGGAAAATGCTTATTTTCTTTTTAACATTCTGTATATGAAAAAAAAGATTCAATTTAAATTTCTAAAAACAGAAGCGTCGTTTTCAAAGTATCAAGGAACTTCAACTGCTTTATATGTATGTAAAGAGATTTTCGAAATAATTGTTACTAATTTTACTTATAATGTCGATTAATCATAAAGCAAATTACTCAAATACTTTTGTTTTTAGTTAATCAAAATCTTGATTACTCGAGTAACTGAACTTTTGAGTGATAATAATTTCCAACAGATCGAGTAATTGAGTTATTTACTTTACGATTAATTAAAATTTTGAATAATCAATTAATCGCACAGCCCTACTACTAATAACAATTAGCATCTATGATAATGATAAATACCTTCACGTGAATAATCCACGCCACTTAAATAATCGTTTATAATTGAAAAAGAAACACTTGCTTTTATTGGTTCAGCGCCAAACGCAACTTAACTGATAAGTCGATATCGCGCCGATTCTAGTATTTTTTTTTTTGGAAGTACCGTTCGCTGAGAGGAGGTTGAGTAATTGATATGAAATTTTGTATTTATGACTCGTACTTTCCCTCTCTAAGCCCAACAGGTTTGTTTTGTATCAACAGTCACCATAACTTTTTCATCTACCTTTAAATAGTCAAAACTCTTTTAAGGCAGAAATACACTAATGGTGATTTCGTTTATACCAAAAAGTGTTGCCTTTTCATTGCCCCTTGCAAAGGGTGAGAAAATTTTGTGTTCTACTTATGTGAAGTAACCTTGAAGCCTTACACATGTAATACTCAATCACCAACTAAATGCACGTACATATATTTATTCTCCCTACGAAGTTTTTGTGTCTCTTACTATTTATGTGCATAAATTAAATCTTACCTTGTCTTGTACAACGGACACTCATAGCAACGCTGCGTCTCCTGTTTCTCCTGTACAATAGATTTTATATAAATGACTGGCATGGCGCAGAGCAGCTCCTTTGGCGGCAATGGTACAATGGAATTAAGTTGACAATCCCAACTGGCTCCATCCAAGTATAGAGCATGCACGAGTGCACCTTCAATGGGTGGTAAACTAGGCGAGAGAGGAAATAGTTTATTGTTACTTGCATATGTATGTATGTATGAACCATTTTCGCTGTAAAATGGGAAAGCTTTAATTTAAAATAAAAAATCTTCATTTGAAAATTAGATAAGTTAAAGTAACTTCAGGCTAATTTTGGCCAAAATGTATTTAACAAAGTGTGATTGAATTTGACATTACTCTCATAAGAACCATTTTTTGAAAAAAAAAAAAATTTTATGAATTTTTAATCATTTGTTTATATTTTGAAAGAGAGCGTCACTGAGTTGTCAATCACACCTTATATAATACACATCGTACAGTTTCCTAAGTAAAAACACTACAGCTGAGATCACCTGTTTTTGGCATTTGCTCTTATCTTTTAAAATTTCTTTCATTTCTATTATAATTTCTTGCTTCTATTACAATTTAATCAAAACACTAACTACTGAACTAAAAGCACATCTACAGCCTGCCAGAAAAAAAGGGGAGGAAGAAGAGTTACGTTACTTGTGGAACTGTACGATGATACACCACTTGATTCCGGCGAAAGTGCGATAGTCATACCATTCGATAGTTTCGATATTTTCAAGAAAACGAGAAAACGCTAGTCAAATAAAAATTAAAAATCGGTAGTATCGTATAAATTTGCTAAGCAAATTTGCATTGTTTGAGATATGTTGTATATGGGGAGATATATATTTCTTGTGGTTTTTCTTGAGAGCTGCAAACAGACGGATGGCAAGATAGTTCGAAATAGAGATGGGCGAAATTGGTTATTTTTCACGTGACACGATGTGCCACGCTTTTTCACGCGTGAACGTGAGCGGTTTTGAGAGAAAAATCAAGAAATTTTCGTGATCGTGCGTGACTGAAATTTTTGCTAACGTGAGCGTGCGTGAGTTAGATTTCCACGCAGTCACGTAATTTTCACGTATTTTTAACCAAAAATTAAGACGGAAACACAGATTTATTTAATAAATACAGGAAACCAAAGTTGTTACGTTACTTTAAAATTTTGGGAGAAGGCTTAGCATTTGCTACTTTTTTGTTTACCGAGTCAATCATTTTTTTCCATACAAAGTATGTATGTTCGACGATTTTTTTTATATCGACAAAAAAAAATATCAAAAAATCAACGGTAAGTCGGAGCTATTTTTTAACTTGCACTAAACCAGCATACTCAAAATATTTCCTAAACATCGAATTAAAAGGCGCGAAATTTTTACTAAAGTTAATTGTTTTTTTTCAAATGTGAGAAAGCGTGCGTGACCAAAAAATAGGCATCGTAGGCGTGCGTGAACGTGATTGAAAAAAATATAACAGATCGTGATTGTGCGTGATTTACAAAATCATCAACGTGAGCGTGCGTGAACGGGGGCCAAAATCACTCACGTGCCCATCTCTAGGTCGAGAGACTTTTGTTTTTCTAGCACCAAAGTCTTAGAAAAGAAGTTCTTTCTATTACCACTGGTGGTGAAAAGCTATTTTGAGAGAAAGTACTATAGTACTTTAGTATTTTAGCTCGCAACGCTCCAACAGTCGCAATAGGCGAGTGAGCAAGGCAGAGTCGTGCTATTCGAGAGGTCCGAGTTCGAGTGCTCAGGCAGCGAAATTTTTATTTTATTATTTTTTAACCTTTTTTTTAATAAAAAATTTTTAATTTTTTAACCTCATTTATATATTTTTTGATTTCATTTAATTTTTAAAAACTTATTTTATGTTTTGTTTTCTTAATTTAATTTTCTTTTCATATTTATTTCATTTCATTTCATTGATGGTAGTAGTTTGAAAATAATATTGTTTTAATTTCTTTTAATTTTTATGAACTTATCTTATTTTTTCTTTTTCTAAGTATTATCTTTTTTTAATTTTCTTTTAACTTTTACAATTTATATCAAAAGCAAAATATATTTGTTTTATTTCATTTATTTCTTAGCGTCTTATTTTATTTTTTTCTGTCTTGTAATTGAATTTTCTTCTAGTTTTTAGACTTTGTTTTAAAAATATATTCTTTTATTGATTTAGTTTTTTTCTTTTTCCAATTTAATTTTTAGATTTTATTGTTTTAAAGAGAAAAAATTTAAAATTAAATAAATTTTTAGAATTTTTTTATTTATTTTTACTTTATTATTATTGTCTTCAAAAGAAAAATGTGTATACATAAATATATATTTTTTTAATTCAATTTAAATTACAAAATTTGTAAAATTTGAAAGCTAAATAAGCATCATTATTTTATTTCTTGACGGTTTCTGAAGAAAGAAATTTTTTTCGATTGAAAAAATGTATTTTCCTCATGTAAAATATAAGGGAAACTTCCGAATTAACCTTTAGAAAGCGTGATAATAGTCGCCTGACTTTGTCCAGTTCAATTTGCCCCTCCATGGGTTTTTGGTGTAGCTTGAAACCAGACCAAACCAGACCAGAGTCCTTGTAGTAGAAAGCTTTCTACTATTTTTATGGCTTGAACAAATTTTCGAACTGACAAGCGATAGAAGCTCAATTCAGCATCCTTTGATCATAACCTTTTCGCTATGGAACTCAAAAATATTTCATTTGGGTCCTTTCTGAGCTTCATAGGTTATAGCAGAACGAAACGTCTTTCAATTTCACCACATGGAAACACATTCCAAACGATTTCCGTTCTACCATAACTCAACAAACTTGGACTTATAAGTTTTACTTGTTCTATTAAAATATAATAAAATTTGTATTAGTAAAATAAGTTACTTACGTAATATCATCCTTCTCCTTTTTCGTCACCTCGCAGCTAAGACACATTCGATCCAAGGGCAAATCATGTTTTCGTGCGCTCTCTTGCATTATGGCTGTAAGAAAGCTCTGTGGATTAAACAACCCCCCAAGCCAAATAGTACAAGGTAGCTTAAAATCGTTGAGCCAACTGGACAATTCCTTAATACGATGCAAAAGATCTGCATACCAACTTTGCAGGCCCAACATGCTGGGATAAGCCAATAGGGCCCAAGTTGTTGGCACGCTATCATAGAAAATGGCATGATCTAGGCGTTCCATATCGGGAGTTATCGTGAGTTCACCTTTCAAGCCTAACAATAGCTCGCGCAAAGATCTCTTGATTTCACATATCAACGCATTCATGCGTTCGCACTCCTGCAACGCCACCACCACAAACGGCGTTTTACGCTCCACCCGATTAAGTAAGGCCTGCAAATTGAACTCATCCTGCATTTTATCCAAAAAGTCCTCACTCATAATTTTCACAAGCTCCTCTCGTGGGGCACCACAATTTGTGCTAAGCTCTGATTCGCGTGGCTGTAGCTCGAATATGGTTTTAAGTAGTTGCTCCGATGCGCTGGTTAGGAAGCCAATCTCGGCATTTGCATGTAGTCCGTAAAGTACGGGCGATTCAGGCGGCAACATTTCATCAATGTAGTTATGATAGCCTTGATAGTCAAGATTGGGAGGCGCAGCAAAACCCGGGCACAACTCCAAATCGCCATCGATGAGCTCTTGCTGCAGTAACTCTTCGAGGTATGTGCGACAGAGGCGACGATCCCAGTCGTCCGTAATGTGACCGCCGTACATGATTTCCCCGAATAGGTAACGTAAGTCCTCCCATGGTATGCGACTGCTGCCTTCCAAGTAGTTGTGCAGCACATTGGCTGAAATGATGAGATCACTGACATTGAAGGGATAAGCCTTATTCCAGCCCTGCGGTCCAAACTTGCAGCGCTCACCCGATACAGCGTGAAAGTAGCAAAGCGCAAAGAGTATTGATTTGAACTCGGCCTCTTGTGTGCAGGTTTCTAAGGAGTCCTGTGAAAAGTTGTCCCAAGCCTTGTGTAGATTAGCGGCCATGCCTGACGGGGGTTCATTGACTATTTTCAGCGAAGACTCCAGTATGCCCTGCGGTATGGCGTGATATTCTGGATCTGGCGCGGGTTCGGCGCTGATAAATAAACGGAAATTTGAATTGGTGTTGTCATCATTCAGCTCGGTCTCGGCAACTATGCGTTCGATTAGTTTCTCTAATGAAGGAAGCCAGTTGACAACTAAATGGATATTTTGCAGGACAACCCACTGGTGTTTATTGGTCAATGCATTGATGATAGCGTCTTCGGCTAATTGTTCTTGACCTTGTCCTAGTGATATATTAATAAGCGTGTCATTGTCGGCCCGAAAGCCCAACTGCTGGCCAAGTAGCTCAACATCACGCACGGGATTAATGCCTGGTGAAAGTATAAATAAAACTGGTGTGCTGGCATTGATTTCTTTGAAGATTTCCGAAAAAGCTGATGTCTGTGTTCGTGTGTACTCCTTGCCCATTGTCAGTTCTACAAATAATCTGAAAAAATATACCTTGGATTAATATTATATTGGAGCATTTCATTGAAATTAAGATCAAAGTATGTTTGAAAACGAATTCCATCATTTACTCACCTCATGGCATACAGCATCCGATCTGGACGTAAAGCTCGTATAATACAAAGCTTTTGCAGCGGCGAACGATACTTCCATTCGCCCGGGAATTGCTCTCTTTCTGGCGCTGCACTGGCAAGGAATTTACTCCATCTTTTCGGATAGCTTTCCATGTCCTTATCGATGCCATAAAAATGCTCGATACCGCCTAGGGATTTAATGCCGCCCCAAGCTTTTCGGCTTACAAATTCCAGAGGTGACAATGAGTTTGGATCGTGTGGAAAGCGCAACAAGAAATCAAACTCATCTTTGGAAATTTGTCCGGCTGCGCTCTGAATACGCAAGATCATGTGTGAAGTGAACGTCAATTTGTCGACTTCGAAGAGGCCACGCATCGTGTAAATGAATGTCTGCAGCGTGATCGACGCCACCAGATGCTGTACACGGCGCTCATGATTTTTGCTTTTCGGTGCAGTAGCAATTGCCTTCTTGAAAACGTTCATAAACGATTTCAGCGAAAACCTATAGATGGGATTTATACGACTGAGGTCGGTGAGAACAAAATAGAGTATAGAGGCGCGCTTGGCCGCTGCACGATACCTATTTCGCGCTTCGTCAATTTGCGCGCTAGTTATGAGCGCCTCTCGCACTTTCAGCTCAATCTCATCAACTGTGTGCTTCGTCGCCTCCAAATTGATGACAAGCGCATGATCATCCAATACATTCGTGCTGGATGAGGCCAAACGCACAAGCAGTTCGTCCTCCAAGGCTTTAAGTGAAATTTTGAATTTATTTTGCTGTACTGTTACGTCGATTTTCATTTGTTCCAAATCGGGTCGTTCGATTTTCACTACCTCGGCAAGCAGTTGCTCTTCAAGGCCATCCGGTGTGACTGTAAAGTTGATGAGCGTTGTTTGCGCTTGGATTTCAGGTTTGTAATGTGGATTTGGTAATTTTGTATGCAACAAAAGACGAAAGTTGTTATTAAAGTCCATTTCCTTGCCACATATGCGTATGTAACGGCCCTTCTTGATTAAAGCGCGACTTAGCAGTGGCTCCAGCACAGTGTCTATAGTTTCACCGATTTGCTCAATTAGCACAGTCTCGCCATTAGCCATAGACTTTTCCAGCACATCTAGGAAGCCCTTTTGATTAAGACGTATAATAACGAGTGTATCTCCGTATCTGTTTTTTATCCACTTAATGCCTTGACTATGGAAGAGATAAATAAAGATATAAGAAATAAGCTGATCATTAACAATCGCATATTTGAACCCATAAAATTGCTTTGGGTTTTTGGTTAGAAATCTTTTATCATAAATTTCTTAGATATCTGTGGCTTCCATAATGAAAATATCGTTGAGTATAAAGGGGTTGATTTAAGTCACAAGAATTTAGTAGTGACTATGTAGTTGTTGTTCTTTTTTGAGCAATACCTCCCACAAGAAGCCATAGAAGTGCTAGATATTTGCGAAACTTGAAGATTTCAAGTAATTGTAATATTAAAAGGAATAGGCAAGAGATGTAAGGACAGAAATGGCGTACGCCTTGGGATACGATAGAAAGAGGAGCTCCGGTGGCACCACTCCGACTTCTTCGGTTTAAGGGCTCACTGAGCAAGGAGATAATTTTATACTATATGTAAACCTCCCAGCAATGAGTTGATGACAACCGTATCCTAAAAACGTATATCCATTCCATCGGATAATTGACCCTCCGAAATATGTATTACGATTTGCAGCTATGCCTGACCCTCTTTAGAGAAGGTCCCTCTCTCCAACGAATGGGTTTCAAAGATAAATACTATTGCGTTGGAGAGGACAACGCTGCAAAAAATTTGGTACGTGACACATCTGTGTACTAGGGCTGCTACGAGACGGCACACAAATTTGGTGTGGTTGGGCGGGCACTCTGACTCCTTGTCTCCAGGTTCGCCCACATCAGTGAACGAGTATCAACAATCCACATTAGTTGTATTCAAGAGTATCAGCCTGATTGCTCTTCAAGTCCCCGACGGCGGAAAATAACGATGAGACCAAGGAGCGTTCTATGAGCGCCTGAAAGAAGCATACGAATGCTGTCCCCATCACGATGCTAAGATAGTGCTTGACAACTTTAACGCCAGGTATGGCCAAGGAGGCACATTTAACTTTCAGTACAAAACCTCTGAAAACGGAGAGGAGTTGATCGGTTGATAGTACCAGGCAACAGCGTCGAAGCGTTCATGAAGCCACTTCCTGTTTCTAGCGGCCATAAAGTAAAATTGAAGTACAAAAATGTACCAAAAATATGTGCAATAAAATTATAGTTTAAAAAACTAAAACCTCCCTATTGTAATTGCCATTCGTACTGTCAACAGGTACATATGTAACTTGAGAATAGAAATCGCTGCATCTTTTAGGCGCATCAATATTACACACATAGTTACATCCCGAGCTAATAAAAGGAAGGTAATAATAAAAAAACAAAAACTAGTTACATAAAACATTAATTTTCTCCTCTTAACAAAAAATAAATTACCTGGTTCTATTCTATCATAGCAGAAATGCACTCGTTTATACAAATAAGTAATTAGCTTGCCAATGTATGTATGTAAGTAATCTTTAAATAACCATTAACGGTAAGTTAAAAAAAAAGTAAAGTAAAGTGCTCTCGAATGTGCAGTTGCGCTTAATTTTCCGCATTAATCTTACAGCTGAGGGTCAATCATCAATGGCCAGCGGGTCGAGTGAGTTAAAATTGTTGCATTTTCCGTTGACATACGATCCACCGGTAATCCTTCATTATTCCAAGTCGCAACTTGTGCATCGTCCGTGAGCAGGGTGAGCGGATCAACGCCAATTGTGTACGGTACAAGTGGCTATTTATACAAAACAAAACAAAAAAAAAAAAGAAATGAGTTTTAGAAAAATACATATGTATGTATGTATGTATGTACTTGTATTTATGTATGTGCATTTTCATCATTAGTTTTCCTTTTTAAATAAGCAATCTCACTGTTTACCTCGATTTTTGCAAAGCTCGTCATCCACATCTTTTGCTGCAACTCCTCTCGATAGCGCCGCGTAAAGCAGCCAACATATGACAAGAAAGAGGAAATTATCAAGATATCTCCAGGTAGAGTACCAATTTTTGCTTGTAAGCTGCTTATTGCCGTTGGAAAACATGCAAAATCAATAGGAGCAACAGCAGCAGCACCAACATCGACCGCAGCAGGTGAAAGGAGAAAAAAAAAACAAAAAATAAAAAATTACTATAAATCTTCAGAGTCATACTTGTGTGTCAAAGTCAAGGAGGGTGCAGTCAATGACGACGGATGTCGATGTTAATACGCTTAAGAAACGGGAAATTGAAAAAATAATGACATGGACCTCAAACAATTGGGCGCGATGGGTGATGTGCCAAGTCGGACAGCGAATGCAAGGATGCAAAGATATGTATGTATGTATGTATAAGGATGCACGGCTGCATTTTAATATTCCCTGAAGGTATAGACACTTTTACAATAGTGGTATTCACCAAAGTGCGCAAGTGCCAGGCCACTCTGTCTGGTAAAAGAGCAGATCAGCTCAGGGATGATAAATGAATTTTTCGAAATTGTATCAAGTGTTTGAAGGATAGAAGGAGGAGAAGCTCGGTCAAACACTAACATATGTGTAAGCGCCAATCTATTATTATTATTATCAAGTGTTTGAAAAAAATGTACCAAAATCAAATAAAAATGTGCCAACAAAAAGTTTTAAAGCTTTCACAAAAAGAACGAATGTTTAGAACAAATATACATTTATTTAACGCTTTTCAAACAAACATCTTGTAAACATATACATATGTATATGTATTAAAAGTAGAATAAAAATAAGTTAGGCATTTCACTTTCTGTGAGATCGTAAGTCACATTTTGTTTTAAAGAGTTTGTATGTATTTGTATATTATGACATAATCTTCTGCTAAGTAGAAGTTTTAACCGACGTAAATATATAACACATCAAAATATACACAGCGTTGCATTTCCAAATCGTACCAAAAAAGTCTATGTGGTGTCAATGTACTTTTTGGTTTCAAATTGTACCAAAAAAGCACAATTGTGACAACTTTATCATCGCTGGATCATCTGCTCTCTTGCCACAGTGCCAGGCCACTTGCTCACTTTGGTGAATACCACTAATTTACTATATAGCCAATGGCCATGGTAAGACAATTTTTTGTGCTACATATATACATATCTAAGTGTGTATGTACATTAAACCGTATCACGGTATATGGGCAAAAAAGAGTTAAATTTGTTCCAAACGATTTCGAACAATCACTATGAGACTTATAAGGAGTGTAAACAGAGACATAATTATTATAAGAGAAAAGCATACAAGTCAATCAATAATCATTATATTAAGATAAATATTTTTCGAGTCATCTATAATTGTTATTCAAAGACTTATATTATAAAAGTCCTTCCATAAAAAGAGAGATAAGACTTTTATTTTAAGACTTATATTACGAAAGTATTTTCATACTAATTATGAGCGCGAAAACAAATTTCTAAGTCTTAAACTTGTTCAAGAGCATTTCAGGATTAGTTCGGGGCTAGGTGGGGACCAGTTTCGTACTTTAATGTCAAATTATACACCTGTATTTTTATTTATTTTCAAATTCAAATTATACACCTATATTTTTATTTATTTTGAAGTCAAAAAATATTTAGAGGTCGTTCAAACCGCTCAAAGTTTTCCATGTATTTTATATGCGGAAAAAACGACTTTTCGTAGAAATGGTATAGAATGCTTGAAAATCAATATTTTTCGATCGGAAATCTTTGGTTCTCTTCAGTTCTCAACAAAAATCACAAGAAATATTTTTCATTCTTTCAGTTGCTTGAAAAAAGTACTTTGTTGTTGCTGTAAATTTTCTTGAATAAATAAATATGTACACGAGCAATTTTTTCTCGGGAGCTGCATACTGATTTAAGAAATTTTGATAGAATACAATTTTTTCATTTCTTGTGCGTCACTTTATATGCTGTTTTCGTTTTTCTTAAGAGCTACAGAGAGCTCTTTAAGAAGTAAAATGCCAGAAAATATGTAAAGATTGAGTACAATTTCAATAACACGGTCACCTATTTAGTCTTAATTTTAAAATGACGTTTTTGAAAAATAATTGAATTTTAATCGACTAAATTAAAGTTAGAACGTGACTTGTTCTGAAATGTGCTCTAAGTCTTTAAAGCCTTTTTTTCATTTTGCCTCTAACTACGCACCTACTACGCGCATAGAATTTATAGTTCGCTAAATTGGCAACACGATTTTCAAAGCGGGAAGCAGGAGACGGCTTTCGCACTTGAACGGGCAAAGCAAATGAGGAAACTTCATTTTAATTAAGGCCTTCGCAAATTCCACAACATTCCAAGCATTTCAATTAAAATATTTGTAGATTGTCTAATATTACAAGACAATTCGAGACTTGCATACGCAAGAAATTTCTCCAATTCAATGAATTCTATTCGGGGAAACAGTTGCAATAATCAGATTAGTCAGTCAGATTGCATTTTCCTATATGTACCACATATGTGTGTGCGTGTATTTGTAATTCTTCTGCTTAGACTATAATGAACAAATAAATAATTAAAAGCGGCTTGAACTATTTTGATGAAGCCTTGAGTGTGAAGTCGCCCTGATGGGTATAAGCTATGGCGGCATCTGGCAGAGTGCACCGAAATCGAGAAATTTCACTAACAGCTCCATTCTTTATCAGTGATAGTTTTGTTGCGAAAAAATATATGAAAAAATTTCCTTTTTTCACAGTTAAACAGACCTTGGTTTTAAGTCCACGACACCTTTCCCCAATTATCCGAGTGAATTAGGCTCTCTTTGTAGCTGACCATAAGAAAGGTGAGAATACCCCATCCTAAGGGCATTCTCTATTCTCAATTTAGAACTGATGTTTTCATTGTTCGAGTTGACACTGCCCTGACTGCTGTCAAGGAAGAGTTTGGGTAGTTGAAAAATCATAAAAATCTATAGGGCTTTTCTAAAATGACCCTTTTTTGCTGGCAAAATGTTGGAAGTCGAGCACTGCGAACATAAATGGATTGAAGCTTTGCGAAGAGTTGAAAAAATTAAGGCGCATTAAACTTGCACCGATGGAATGGCCATTGGAGGTTCTAGAATCGCGGCAAGTAAAATGACTTCGATGTATTTCCTAATGATTGGGTTTCTCTCAGGATTTTGTTGACTTTGCTGTTTGTGACTGTTGTCTGCAGGGAGCGAAGTTTTTCGAAATCGCAGCTCATCAAAACGTACCTAGGATCCACTATTTCCCAAAAAAGATTAAATGCTTTAGCTGTCTTAACTATCGAAAATGAGTCTGCTACTCAGATTGACTTGTCCAAAACCATTGAAAAATTTGCCCAAGCCAAAGCAGAGTAAACTTGTAATTTATATACATATCTAAATTTTGATTATATGTAGTAAGAATTGGAATTTTTTTTAATTCAGACTATTTCTGCAATTGATTATCGTATAAGAAAAAGAAGTCCGAACTTCGGGGTCCGAAGTAACAAACATTATTATCAAAGGGCGCGTCGTTTTATTTACGCCCCGGCCGTCGTTGCTTCTAAAGCCGACCCTGCTTGGCATAATCTTTTAGCTAATATGAAGTGTATCCACCTTATGACTTTTTTATTCAAAATGTTGAGTACCTTCCTTGTCGGTAAAAAAAAAAACCATCTTAGATGTTTTGTTATTTTGTAAGGATATGTCTTCCGCAGCCGGCCAGAGGTTTACTGTCGTTTACGTCGTTTCCCCAATAATGGAAAAGTTTATATGAAATAATTATGAAGTAGTACGAATAGAACTTGACTCCAGACACGTTTCGACATGCCTACTGCGATTTTTTTTCTTTATATTCGTTTATTTCTTTACTTTCGTTGCTTTGGAAACACATATTCTCGTCTACCTTCGAAGCGCAGGGCTTCTTAGTTAGCCAATTAGCTTATTACAGCTTCTTTTTAACCGACTCAAAAAAAAAGAGGAGGTTATCATTAATAGCCTATTAAATATTCGAGTTCAGTTGTGGTGTCTAAATAAATTTTGTATGATCCTAACATGATTTTCTTCCATATAGGCTCTATGTACATGAGTATGTGCACACAATTATATAGGTACCTTTGCATTGACTCTACCCTACCTCTGCACTGACTCCTTCCAGCGTATATTCTCATTCGCCAGCCCATTAATCAGCCGGTGCGCTAAGTCTATTGTAAATGCAGTTTTATCCGCATCCCGCTGACACATTTGCTTTGCAGCTATAGCTTCCTCGAACTCCGCCTGTATCTCTGCCAGTTTCATTTCGAATTCATTGATTTTAATCTTTAGATATTGCAGACGCTCACGTGCCTCCTGCAATTCTTTCTGCGAATCGTGCAAAGCCTGTTGCTTGGGTCCGACAATGAGAAATACCTGATGATAACGATGCAAATTGATAACCCAAGCGCAAAGGCCAGCCGCAGCCACTGACTTTTGTACGACCTTTTCGGGACTGAACTCAGGATCCTAAGTAATTAATAAAATGAGAATAATTGCTCAGTATTCATCTGCTTAGTGCAGTCTAGTTTACCTTCAAATATTCCTGTAATACTTCGATGATATTTGGATGTATATTGTCTTTATTGTAATTAACTAGATCGTAGAGAAATTGATCGACGCGCACCATTGTTAGCTTGGCTGCCTTCCAGCTGCGATCGCGTGGTATTTTGCCATTTTTCGCTAGTAAAACCATAACAGCTGCGCATACATTTACCACAGCCTTGGGTGGTGAGCCAAACGACTTCAATTCGGTGAGATTATTTTTGTTTAAAGTATTAAGCGCCGCTTGTGCAGCAACAAGTGCTGGTTCCGCTTTGCGTAAATCTTCTTCGCATAACTTTGTTTTCATGCAGACATCCTCTTCAATGATGCGCACGCGCTTCTCCTCCTCAGATGCGGTCGACTTTTCGCGTTTGACCTTCTCACTCTCAGCACTCACAATGATGATCAGCTTATCGGCGGCTGCATTTTTTGCTGCCAATTGAACTTCTTGGATGGCCAATTGATTCTGTTTGTGAAATAGAGGCATAAAAATATGACTTTAATACAAATTCGCGGAAAATAAAATATTTTATTTGGATGTTTCATTACTGGGATCCAGATAATAGCTACAGCCGCATATTGGGCTTATCAGAAACTACAGAGGTAGATCGAATTCGACGCCGCAGACATGTCTCTCATCGTATACCAAGCACTACGAAAGATCCATAAAGCCACTAGGATGGACCCTGATCAAAAAACTCCGAGCCAACACCGACGCGGTTCATTACTCTGTTGCAGCAACGTTTCTCATTGGCCTTAGTCTGGTAGAGGACAGGCATGCCGCTCTCTTCTCCTCACGCCACTCAACCTCATACTAAGCGAACGTTTCCTGAACCAGATAAAATCGAACGAAAATAACACTGAAGATGGCCCAACGCCGAAACGGGTTTGTCTGCAAACCAAGCTTGACAAGGGATGACAGAAATTCGTCCCAAACTAAATCAGATAAAATCATATTGCCACCTGCTATACAGGCAAACTCACATGGCCGAAATGTCAATGGCTATTGGTCTATTCACGGGTGATATCTTGATAGGCAGACATGAGGAACACCTCGGGGTCCACCAGAATGACTTTTGGTAAGAGCTGCTAAGACGAAGAAGCGCCTGAACCAATCAGAAATTTACTCTGCAGGAAAAGTAGCTTAGCTTGTAGTCATGCAATGGTTTACGAAAGAGTAGATGCTCTGGATCCTATCGATCATATTTGACTATTTTTTTTGGTACTAGGTTTCCTAGTTTTCCTTCAAGCTCCTGACACAACCTTCTAGTAGTAAGATATTTTTTGGGATTCCTTACTGCTAAACGATTAACAAGTGAAAAAATAATATGCATATATGAGCATTTCTTTCAAAACTTTTAAAATTTTCAAAGTGTATGTGTGAGTATCAGTTCAACTGTCTTGTGGATTCAGCCTTCAAGCTCTGTGTGGTTACTAAAGTAACGTTGAAACGCAAAATTAGTTTACCACATTATTTCGCCAGCCGCATACGCTTTACGCTCTTTTGCATCGAATTCCTCACTCGTATATATGTATGTATGTAGGAGAATATTTTTGAAAGTGCAGTTGCACAGTGCACTTTGCCGCGTAGACAACTCAATTACGAGTACTAATTGAAAAGCGCGCTGTCGATTGTCCACTCAACTAGCCGTCCGAAACGTACAACTTCACACGCATTTGTATTTTGTTTTTTTGTTTTGTTTTTGTGACCACGATGCATTGCATACATAAAAGTGAGTGCACGTGTTGGTGTGTATGTATGTATGTAGATTGCAAATTTGCATTTCGTACCTTCAGCGCGTCCACTTGACAAGCACACTCAGCCAATTTAGCCATGCCGCTCTGCAAGCGTTGAATGCGTCCGGTATGTTCGCCATTCTTTTCCACCAGCAATTTGCGATAGAGGAAAATGTATTCGAGAAAGGTTTTTGGTGTCGTGTAGTTGTAGCGTTTTTCGTTTTGCAAATAAATTTTCGAAATCTGATTGACTGTGTGGTGAACGTAGGCCATAAAGCAACCGATTGGCGAAATCATGTTACGCTGCATTGCAATGTATGACAGTTGTGCGAGAAAATCAATAAGAGAAAAAAAAATAATTTACATACTTATAATGAAAAACGAAAGAGACACTTTGGTGGTGCACTCACAGGCAAAATACGCACATCAATTTCACTAAGAAATTTTTGCGATACAGACTTGAGTGCTATTTTGGGCCATTCGTGAAACCAATCGATGCTGGTGCGGCTAAGTATGGCGGGGAATTTGCGCGCACGTACGCGTAAAGTCTGTCCGACAGGCGAAAAGCAGAGAACCACCTTTAGGAGTCGCCTTATTTTGTCAATGAAAAAACGCCAGCAGTTCTCTTTGGTGTCGAGAGTGCCACTTTGTTTCACCTCGTTACGTATGCCGTTGAAAATGGTCTCCAGCTGATCTTCATTGAAGAGTTCCGGTATATCGCCCGATGCTAAGAGATCATTGATGAGCATTAACAGTGGCTCGTCGGGTATTTGCGCGTCCGACATGAGGAAAACCGAAGCGACATTCTTTAGTCCTACTTTCATGTACAAAGCGGCAAATTCCTCTTTAAGGTTTTGTAAGCCAAAACCGCGTTTTAATTGTACTTGAAATACACTTAGTGACGAGATGAACGAGGCGAGACGTGCGAGTGTCTGTTTGCCCGAGCCGCCAACGCCGATCAGTAGTGCATTGCCACGCGGACTTTCGAGTATGCGATTGATGCTGAAAGCGAAGGCTTAAATAGCTGTACATATGTATTTATAAAGAGAGCGAAGTTAACATTACCGACAAACATGTATCATCGCATCCTCAAACAGCACCAAATTCATGTAACCCACCACCTCATTGTAGTTGGCTTGGGCCTCCATTAGCAATTGGTGTAGCTTGTCCCAGCTGCGCAGCGGCATATATTTCTGATCTACGAGCGACTGCGCAAAGTGACTATATATCAGTGGCTCAGCAAACACGTAATCCTCATCGAAATCTTCAAAATCCTTCTTGAAGATATCGCGTATTGTTGCCTTGAAGGATTTAATGTCATACTGATCCACCAGTCGATCGTGGTAGACGCGATACGCCTCATGCACGTACAGACGTATCAAGTCGGCCGGCTTATTGCAGATAGTGCCGTTGCTCGCCAACATCGCACTGCTGACAGCGCTGTTGCCGCTTTGACTCGTCGGCGTACCACAGCTAAACATCAGCCCCTGATAGATGTTGGTCAGGTCACGCAAATTGAAAGTGTAATGGAATTTCAATGCAGTCGGCAGAAATGCGTATTCCACGCGCCGATGCAAGGCGATGCCGACTTGTACCAGCAGCTCAGCGATGCACTTGATTTCCTTGCCGAATGAGTTATAGGGATTCTCTAAGTGACTGTGCAAAATAGTGCCGAAGATGCATTGCAGTGTCTGCTCGGTGGGTGTTGCCACTGAAAAAACACAAAAGTGGCGCTGCAGTCTTGGGTCGATGGTAAACGAACCAGCCGTGGGATTCATGCAGGCCACAAATTGGCAGTGACGTATGTCCTTTAGCTGTAAGCGTTGCCGATCGTACCTGGACAATGAATTATCTTTATTTTAAGAATAACACTTCAATTTGCCGAATTTTAACTCACCATTGTCGATAGTCCATGAATTGACGTATAATCGTATGGGGCTGTACGGTGCCATACACATCCACTTCCGGCATATTGAGATCATTTACGAAGTAAATTAGATGCCTATTGGCGCCACTAGGTGCATAGCACCGTCCCGATTTCTTTTCCAGTGGTCGCTCGAGTATCTTCTGAAAGATCTCAGACGTGGTGTAGTAGTTGAAATGCGTCGTCTGTACTGCAATGCATCGTGACCTGCCCGGCGATGATAACATCTTACTGCGTTTTGAATCTGATAACTTTGTTTGTTGCGTAATTGCTTCCGGCTCGGTCGCAGTATCTTGTTCGCTCTCGTATGTGGCGAATAGCTCGCGAAAAATTGCGCTTTTACCGCAGCCCGAAGTTCCGACCAGCATGCAGGCGTACCTACGTCCGATAAGTAATTTCAGAAAGTATGCTAGACGTACTGTTTCTGCTGTGGGCACCAGGACGGTCTAAGGTGGGAAAAGGTGGGGTCAAGTTTTTAAGTATTTTGCACTTTTATTCGCAGTATAAGCAACTGCCATCTACGTATGCAGGTACGTACCTGTATTGGTACTTCAGTGTCTATCGGCTCAATTTTTTGCGCCAACGCCAACTCCGACCAGCGTTGAAATTTATTTGTGCGCAAATCCAGATGGTATTCAAAAATTGAATCTTGGGCAGGCAGCTTGACGTCTTTGAATTCGCTTGTCCACCATTTGTGAAATTCACGTCGCCAGTCAATAACGTGATCTTGATGTAGCGCTGAACCGAAACCCCACATTGTTGCATAGATGAATATCAATTCGATAGATAAGTTCAGGGCATCTTTTGCAGTTTCACTGGGGTTCACAAGGCTGTGTGTATCAATGGCGTTTTCTTCGATTCTATTCACCTAGAGTTGAGGAAAAATATTAGTGAATTTTTTTAAAAATATCAATCCAAGAGCTATTGTCTTTTGGCAGAAAGAGCACGTGGCATAGATAAAGTTGTTGTAGGCGGTGATAATTCAACGAAAACTTTTGGTCGGAACTAAGCAGACAAAGATATGAAAGAGACATACACTTTTTCGCCGGCTTCGTTAAACAACTCATTGCTGTACTCTGTACTTGTGTCTTGAGCTCCTATGAAAAGTCGTTAACAGCCGCAAATAATTATAACATAGGTGCGCTGAAGGTCTAAACAAATCAAGGTTTATCTACCGCTTGCTTTGGGGCAATACTGTCGCGACGAGATGGGCCCCAGATCAGGTTTACACTTTTTGACGGCACTGGCCCAGCCTGTCGCGACAGTTTTGCCAGTGTTGTCAAACTCGTGGTCAGTGTTGTTGGTCTGTTAGTTGGGTCCTTAGGGGAGCACGACCTCTTGCAGACGTAAAGTGTTATCTGCGGCACAAGTTCAGTGAGTTCTTTTTACGGATGAGCCCAATTAAGACTAAAAAGAAGACAGGCGATTTACTGATGAAGCACTCAAGAGTCGTTGGATAAAGCCTGGTTAGGGCTGAATTTCTTTTAGGTCCCTTACAATTTAGACTGATATGAAAATCAGGTCACAGTGCCATTGGGAAACCTAACAGGATGATCAGTACATTTTGACGCACTGAGTGCCTGACGAGATTCGACAGCCAGCAGGAGGAAAGTACATATATTTACATATATAGTAGAGCATTTACAATCTGCCATAGATTACGATCTGTAGCGGCGGTAGACTATCGAACTAAAAAATTAGCTCAATAAAAATGTCTTATATTTTAACTGGTCTCAAGACCCATTTGGGTATGATNAGCAGGAGGAAAGTACATATATTTACATATATAGTAGAGCATTTACAATCTGCCATAGATTACGATCTGTAGCGGCGGTAGACTATCGAACTAAAAAATTAGCTCGTTAAAAATTTCTTCTATTTTAACTGGTCTCAAGACCCATTTTGGTATTATTGATTCTAATGGACTATTCCTACCCGTTTGAGCGCGTGCAGCAAACTCTCGAGCAGATGGCAAGTCATTTGTATCATAGCCATTTCGCTGATAGGCGTCGTACGTCGAAATGCACGCTGTCTCGTCATAAGGTTGGGGAAATATTTCTCAAACAGGGCGGTGAGTGTGCCTCTTTCAATGGGATCGTTACGCGTTTCTATCCACGACAGCACATAACTAGAGAAAGCAAAAATCCAGCATAACAAATTACTTAGTTTTCTTTCATGTCTCACAACTTACGGAGCCCAGCCCATGTCTTGTGGGTNAGGTTGGGGAAATATTTCTCAAACAGGGCGGTGAGTGTGCCTCTTTCAATTGGATCGTTACGCGTTTCTATCCACGACAGCACATAGCTAGAGAAAGCAAAAATATAACATAACAAATCACTTAGTTTTCTTTCATGTCTCACAACTTACGGAGCCCAGCCCATGTCTTGTGGGTTAATATACAAAATACCAGCCCTAGAAACCGTGGCTGGTGTGGCCGCCTTAAGGTGACCCACCTCAAAGAGCAATCGCATTTCTCGCTTCAAAGTGATACGTTCGTTGCTTGCGAGCGTTAATATTTTATTGTCATCCATCAGTGTATTCAAACTCTCAATCCACATGGGATCAATATCGCCATCAAGCACAATCCACTTGGGATTGCCTGCTGGTAAATTTGTCTGTTCGCGCATTATCGATGAGAAGAGACCATCCTTCCATTCGCGCGTTGTCGGATTGACAACTCCGAATAGTTCATCATTCGATAAGGCTTTTGGATTGATTACACTACAGACCGGTTTCAATTTCTGTATGCGATAGGTTTCAAGAAGTGTTTGCCAAATTTTAGTTTTTCCTGTGCCAGTGTTGCCGACAATGAAAACTGAATGTCGAACATCTAGAAGATCTTGCAGTTGCACAACTTTCATTAGAAAGCCTTCCTCAGGTTGCAGCTTGTTCTCATTAACTGCACGCCTTATAGTTTTTTCAAACTCAAAAATGCGCTTGCGCGGCACATCCAATGTGGGAAAGAGATCACCAATAAGGCCCATGAATATGGCCACATCCTCGGTAACAATTTTCGGTATGTTGAAATCGCGCAAAGCACGCATGAGCACCTTAGGAATCAATATATAATATAACAGTAACTGCACGAAAAACAAATTCAATGCTACTCACCTGATCTTCCGGTCGACTGTGATCGTCGCGCTTTAATGTGCCCGCCACCACCAAGACAGACTTGATAGCGCGCAATCCCCAATCGTAGTGATCCTGCTTGGACAACAGTTCTCGGCACAGTGTGTAAAGCGTTATAAATTTGCGTGCAAGTATGCGCGCATCTTGAAAGCCCTCAGCCATTAGCATGATTTCGCAAATGAGCGCAAAATCTGGTACGACCATGGCGCAAGGGCGAAAGAGCGTCTTCAAATTTTCAGGCAATTCAGTACGTCCCGCGTAGCCGGGATTAAGTGTGATGAATATACCCACCGTTGGCACCAAGGCAATGGACTCGCCCATAAATGTAAAACGCTCACGATGCATCTATAACAAGTTAGGTCACAGGTTTACTACCCGGCGTTCTGAAGTACTATTTTTTTTTTTGTTTAGTTAATTGTACCTTAATGGCGTCTTGTATAGTCTTCACCTGCACGGCTACAACCGACAGCACCTCCACTGCAATGCGATTGAATTCATCAAAACAACCCCAAGCGCCAGTTTGTGCTAGTCCTTTATAGATGTTGCCACAAGACTTGTAGTCCATTTGCTCCGAGCAGTTAAAAACGTAAACCATCATGCCAAGTGCTCGCCCTAGATCTTTTGTGGTTTCGGTTTTGCCGGTGCCTGCCGGGCCAGCGGGTGCGCCGCCCATTACAAGATGCAGCGACTACATTAAAAAGCATTATTATTTGGCGTCCAACCTTCCATCCATATATAGGTATTGAATGCTGCATAGGCTCGATTTTATGTACCAGCAATTGAAATTAGGGACTACAATAATGGGACGGCGGAAATGGATTTTGCCGTTTTATAAGTCTCAACCGATTTCACGAGAAATGCACCTGAGTATGAAGAAGTCTCAAAGAAATGTGTTTCCGAAAAATCTTTCTTAGGGACAGACTTCCAGTGCAGTGTTTTCAACGCCATGCCTCCCTCCGGCGTTGCAACCGTCAAAGCGAATTTAGCTGAGTGAATAAAGCACGCTAGTCTTTTCTCTTCTATGCTAAATGCCGTGCGGAGAAAAGCTATATAGGATGTCTATCAGAGATAAGAAACCCCGCGTTTCAAAGAAAGAATATGAAGAGTCCTGTTTTTTTTAAATTTTTTCGGGAAGGGTTCTAAGGGTGAAATCAAACAGCAGATGTGTATTTTGTAGCTTGTACACACTTTCTTAGTAAATTTACGCACACCGCAGCAACTATATTACACTCTAAAAAGTCCGAAATTTAAACAGACTATTCGTTGAATAATCGAGCATGTAATTTCGCGAATAATAAGGTAGGAAATCAGTAACCTACCTTTTAGGTAGGAAATCTACACAATTTTTTTTTAGAGTGTAATGTTAGCCATCCTCATAGCCTCACTTTCGATCGGTAGTGACTCCGAAAATCGCCTCCAAATGTTTGACGCTATACCCGTAGCATTAGGTGTTAGTTTCAAGCTCTATATTCTTGGCCACCAGGTCCGCTGCCAAATTTGCTTAGAAATACACGTTCTGTGCTATACGCGCATAGACGAAAAAATCTCCCATACTAGTTGACCCGCCCTAAAGTATACTATGCATATGTTGACATATTAAACCTGTATAAACTTTACCATGCAAGACAATACAACACTTATGTATGTAAGTCTAATTCTCTAATAATAGGGTCTTCGAAAGGAAGTGTTTAAGCTGTGAAAATATAATTAATTTAGCGAATAATTTTCTTAACGGAAATGAATAATTTGCCGGCTCGGCGTTGTCACGGAAACAGCAATGTGAGCTTTGATTACTTTACCTCTGATAAGGAGATAACACTTATCGTCGTTTAAAGTACAAAACCGCGTATCGTCATGCTGAAGAAGCGCGTAACTGACATTTGCTGCCAAAAATTGGATTTGCTTATACAAGTGCTTGGCTCAATCTTTATCCATTCGTCCTGAAATATACTAGCCAGAAATGCGATTGCTTTATAAAAAACAGAACCGTTTTGGAATATGAGTGTTTTTACGCTCTAGAAAATACCTCACATACTCGGTTTTACATTGTCTTGTTACGCGATTTTGTACTTTAAACGACGATATGTACTGTGTTTAAGATATATAATTCATGTGCAAATATTTATTGCAAAATTAGTTGGGTTCTTATACAACAGAAGAGGTTAACTCACATCATTTATGATTGATGCCTTACCACGGCTCTCTCTCTCTCTTACCTGCGTCAGAGTAATGTAACATCTATCTGTGAGCGGTGTTATAACAAGTCTTGACGTATTTCCAAGATATTCATAGGCATAGCGGAATTCCGCATCGCAGATGTTCGCAAAACAGTCCTCGTCAGTTGCTGCTGGCCGGCGCTCTGCCTCGAGCATAGCATCATCCCAGCGATGTCGCAGCTGACTTTGCCACTGAAATGCCAGCGCACTATCGACTCTTGGCCTGTATGATTTTGCCGACCACGTCACGCGAGTGCACATCGATTGTGCACACGGTCATTATTTTTTGACGATCGCCGGGTGTGAGTTCGCCCAACAGCAAGT